GTAGAGACAGAGTCTCACTTTATCCCCCTCAGTACAGTGCCATGGCATCATACAACTCACAGCAACCTCCACCTCCTGAGCTTAGGCTATTCTCTTGCCTCAGCCTCCCGAGTAGCTGGGACTATAGGCACCTACCACAATGCCTGGCTGATGCAGTTCAGCCGGAGCTGGGTTTGAACCCCCTACTCTTGGTATATGGGGCCAGTATGTGGCTCCTACTCATTGAGCCACAGGTGCTGCCCTGAAGTCTTATTTCTTTATAAAAATTTCCTCATGATGAATGATCTGCCCATGTTTCAAATGCCTATCTATCATTCAAGCACATTCAGGTGACACTTTTCACATAGTTTTTCTGTATTGGACATAATCTTTCCTACCTCTGACAACATTATGAAACATTTTGCAAAAGCTATACTCAGTCCTATGCAAGACTCACTTTCTTTTCCTTCTTGAATATAAACTTTGTGAGAAAAGGAACTGCATTATGTTCATCACAAAGTAACCCATAGTGTTGCTGAGCAGAGTGGTTACACATGGAAGATATTAGATATATGTGTCTGTCACTAAGCCTGTTGTCAGAGACTCTGTGGTCTCTGACCCACCCAGGTCTTCTAACTAGGCATGGGTCCTAATTCCCCAAGAGGTGCATTAGCTGATGAGTGCTCACAGGTGCCCTCCTTCTCCAGAGAATTGAGCTCAGCTGACTGGAGCAGCTTCACTTGTGATTTTACAGCCCAAAAGCCAATCAATGAGTAAAGGTACATATAAAAAGCTGAGCCCCTTGCCTGTCATGAGGTGATGCTCCAAAGCACAACCCCAGTGGCTGAAGCCAAGAATAGACTTGACCTGAGACAGTTTACTAGATCCTTTTCCCTTGTCTTTCCATCCTGTATAGGTTTCTCCTCAACAGCACTTCCTCCATGAATAACCTTTACAAGAATCTCTGTCTTAAGCACACCTCTCAGTAGCTTCCTATAGGCAATTATACAAACTGTAGCCAGAGTCATTCTTTAAAATAAAAACACAGTATATAACACATGGTTGTGTAAAATGTTCTCATCAGAGATGTTTTTAGTAATTTTGCAACTTTTCCATAAGTCTAAAAGTAGTCAAAAATGAAAAAGTTAGAAAAAGAAATGCAAAGCACTTAAAAAGTGAAACTGTATTTGAGCAGATCCTGGCACTCACCTTCTCAATACCTTTCAGGAGTGTCTTTACCAATGAGTCCCCAGCTCCCGTCACCTTGCCACCCTCATAAATTACATTCTCCTCAATTGATTCTGTGATTTTCAGCATACTGACCTTGTTGTTTTGGTACAAGCTAAGCTCATTCCTAACACAGAACTTACTATTGTCTATGTTTAGAAAGCTCTCTCCTCACATATTCACATAGCTTATACGTCTATTTAGGTCTCTCCTTAAATATCACCTTTCTGGAGATAATTTTTCTGGTAATTATAACTAAATTAGTACTCTCCATAATAGTCATAACTAGCCATTTTTTTTTCTATATAGCACTTATAACTATCTGACATTATATAAGAACTATATCCTCTTCAGAAAGATAATTGTTTTATGGGAGTTGGAACTTACTTCACAAGGACAGAAACTTGTTTCTTGAGCATTTGGAACAATTTTTGGCACGTTGTGGGTATTCAATTAGTATTTGTTAAATCATGGAATAGAGACCCCATTATGCAAATAGAATAAACCTCCAATACTGCTTCTCCTCATAAAGAGTAAAGAAAATTTAGATGAATGAAAGGGGACAAGGTACATTAAAAGTCAATAAGAATACATGTGTGAAATATAAATAAATTTAAACTACAAAATACATTGTGATGCACAATTATTAAATAATATGAGCTACTGACAATGTAGTCTGTCCTTCTGGTGGGAGTATAATGGGTATGATGGGTGGCACAGAATTCCTGAGACTCCTACAGCCTGAAAATATGTTAGTAAAGAATAAGTGTTAAAGTTAGACCTTATAACTTAGTTGTGGAGACAAAAGTTGGAAGGTTACTGTTGCCTGGGATCTTGGAGAAAAATGCCAAGAGAAGGAACATGGAAGCAGAAAAGACCTGAGCTCCTGAACTGCTGGGGTCCTGCCTGGTGGACACGGTCCTTTAAGACCTATGGAACTGGCTGCAATCCACTGAAGAAAGGTAAAGTTAGAAATGGCAAGAAACAAAGAGACAAGACACATAGAATAGAGTTTTCAAAAGTGGGAACACAGGGAAGCAACACCTGTTTGTGGAGTTCCAGTGAGTGGCCCCAAGTATTTATTTCACTCAGCTTTTACTAAAGACTACTTTGTCATTAGCCCAGAAGGTACGCTGAGGAAGGGCACAAAGTTAGTAGTTTCTCTGAGCAAGCATATCAGCTCCTATTGTTTCTATAATCATTAACTTTAAGGGTCTGAGCAGTCTGGAGAAATCTGGAACCTGAGCTTTGTGTGGGAGCAGCCTCCTGTCTCTGGTCACACACACAGATTCCTAAGGGGGTGTTAAAACCCTCTAGTTCACTGTGGAGTAAAACACCACTGGTATCAATCTCCTCTGAAGAATTGGTGGGAAAAAGAATTTTTCTCTCATCTCTACCACAGAGGGTCTTCCTCTGTGGTAAGGGATATAAGCCCTTTTACCCATATTTCAGGGCTTGAGCTGTTTCCTTGATCTCTTTCCAGGCCAAATACAAATCTCCACAAGGGGCAATTGCTTTGACTGTTAATTGGGCAGGAGATGGCCTAGTTAATGTTTCTTGCCAGGCCTTGCACACAGCTTCCTCTATGGCCATTATTCCTTCAGAGTGTTCACAGACCCAGCAGGGAAGTTAGAAGCTGTAAACCTTACAGGCCAGGCTTCTGGGAAACTGCTCAGATAAGAAATTTAACAGTGGCTTGTTCAAAGGCAAACTGGCTGATTTTTCTTTGTTCCACATTGCTCAGTTTATTTCTCCATCCCTCCCTTTTTCCTGGGTGTGCTTTCCCTTGCCAAGAATGGGGTCTTTGGCCCCTATTCTGCCTTCACTGAATAGTCCTAAAGGTATGAGTCATTTGGAGGAATAACTTAGATCACATGTTTGGGGGGAAGAATGAAGCCAGAATGAAGGTAGTGCTCAAGGAAAAGACAAGGAGTAACCTTTCACATGAATTAACTGTTTTTAGCCACCTCTTTGTCCATTTGATCTCTCATCCTCTAGGAATATTACCAAATATCCCAACATTATTAACATATAGCTTTCAAGATACTCTAAAATGCGGCTATTAACTGTCAAAATTTCAGGCACATGAAATTCTACTAATAGCCTTACAACTTAGTTAATTTTCAAATGACCTCATAACCTAAACTCATAACACAAGTAGCAGTAAGACAAGGACCTGACTTTCCTTATCCTACTGTCAGTTATGTTATGAGATTACTTGGGAAAGTTGGGAAAATAGAAAATGACTTTTTTTTTTTTTTTTTGAGACAAAGTCTCACTTTGTTGCTCTTGGTAGAGTACCATGGAGTCACAGCTCACAGCAACCTCAAACTGTCGGGTGTAAGCAACTCTGTTGCCTCAGCCTCCGAAGTAGCTGGGAATACAGGTGCTTGTATAACCCCTAGCTATTTTTTTTAGAGATGGGGCTCTCGCTGTTGCTCAGGCTGGTCTGGAATCTGTGAGCTTAGGGCAATCCACCCGCCTTGGCCTCCCAGAGTGCTAGGATTATAGGCATGAACTAACATGCCTGGCCAGAAAATAACATGCTAATGACTTCCATAAAATCATACTATAAATTATTTTATCTGCTTGTTTAAATGATTATATTGCCCACAAAACTAGCAAGAATTGTTGACATTAAAATGCTTGGCATCCTGCTCCACATTTTAAAGTGTGTCTGAAACATACCATACCTGTAGGTCTCTGTAAGTTCTTTTGTACTAAGATCCTTCTCAAAGTACCGTCCATGGCTGCTTCCTCTATATGGGAGTGGTCTCCAATGACAGTCCAGTACATCATTCTGAAGAGAGTAGGTCAAGGATGTTAACCTGGTAATGACACTGTTATAATCTGACTCTGATCCCCAAGGCAGTGACTCTTCAAATCATGTGCATTAGCCTCACCCTCAGACTGTCTTACAAAGTAGATCCCTGAACCCAACTTGAAACATACAGCATGCAATGTCCAATGAACTGCAATATTGGATATTGCAGTGTCCAATATGCAATATCCAATATTCCAATAGAGGGCCTTGGGAATCACTTTTTAATCAAAGTCTTATTTATATACACTAATATTTGAAAACTTTGTTTAATTTTGAAAAATCCTTTTAAAATCTCAGAAGAAGAGTATTGCTGTCTCTTGAAACTTTCCCCTTTTGGTGATAGAATAATTATTTTACTATAGATGTTGCATCAACATACTTTTGTTGATAGAGAAGTAGTTTCTTATCAAACTGAAATTAGAAAGTACTGCCTAATCATAATCCTAAAAATTGAGTACAAATTGTCTGTTTTTATTAGAAACTAATACTCCACTTTATGGATGATTAGGAGCTTTGTTTAACATTTTCCTATTTCTTTTCTGGTCATTTCTTGTAGGTTTACATCTCCAAGTGAAAGAAAAGAAATGTTTGTATTACATTGTTTAAGCTGGCGTATACATGTGCCTTCATCTCCTATTATCAAAAATAGACAAAAATATGAATATATTACATTTAATATGTTTAATATTTTGAAAATTCAGTTGTAGATTAATAATGTGGTTATGTGTTTATAACATGAGTATTGTTATTATGCAATACACACATATAAACATACCATACACATATACAAACACATATACTGAATGTATAGTATGGTTAACTTCAAGAAAAAAATATATTTTGTGTCATCATTTGGTATGGAAAAAAACAACATGCTTTCATAAAGAAAGAGAAATGCAGGGATTTCAGAAGTCACATTAATCTATTACACACTGAGCACTCATTACAAAAACAAAATTTAGTGCACAATCTCTAAAAATGTATACTTGTATCAAGAAATTAAAAAATACCAAGCCATTAACTTACCCCCTTTTCGGATTTACAGCAATAGCATAAGGTTCTCCAGCCATATTTGTTAAGAGTCGGGTGCAGTTGGGGCCATTCAATTGCCCTGCATTGATAGAGTACCTCAGACTGGTCCAGTGAGTGGTGTAGTAACTGAACCAGTGCATTCTAGAATGATCTGTCCAGTAAATATTTCCAGCAATCCAGTCAACTGCAATGTCCCTGGGCCTTTTAAACTCAGGACACTAAAAGAAAACAAAATTATATACCACAGTAGCTTCAAAAGGAATTTAATGGATTTTTCTGTATCTATACATTGAGATTATATGGGGTCATCATAGGAACATAGTTGTTGTTACCTCGATGCCCCCAAATATACTTAATGTTATTGTTAATCATTAGAAGTATAACTGCACAAATCTAAAGTGTACAGATTATCGGAGTTTTACCTGACTGCACTTGTTTAACCACAACCCTGTTAGGATATTTCCAGAACCACAAGAGACTCAGCTGCAATCTTTCTACTTCAGTATTCCCCTGAGGGTAACAATAATTCTGATGTCTAATGCCATAGACTAGATGAAACAAATCCATGTAAGTAGAATCAAATTATTCTATTCTGAAATTATCTTGCTCAACATCATGCCCATGAAATTTATCCATACTTTGTGTGTGTTAGTCATTAATACTTTTTATTGCTGGGTAGTACTTGAATTTATGAATACATAACAATTATATTTTAGTTACAATTAGTAATATGTTATTGTTTACTATTTTCTTATTAATAATGTATGCTTGGTTTGGGTATAGTTTCAGGTCATAAATACTCATAAAGTGAGTCATAAATACTCTGGTACATGTTTTTCATAGTATTCATTTGAGTACTTACCCAGGTATAGAATTAATGATTCTTAAGGTGTATATATATACTTAGCTTGCATAAATGTAGCTAGAAAACTTTTTAAAAAAACTTTTCAGTAACATAAAAAAGATTTATATCCTCACCATACACAATTTAATTTAAAAATTGAAAAAACACATATGTTAGTACAGGTAGACATTTTCAGAGAGATGGTATAGTTTAACATCTTTGAAGGACAGTCACAGTATCTGTCATTTATTTTACATTTGATACCTTGGATTTTCTGTTTAATATTCTGTATTTTACCAAACTACTGTAAGACAAAGGTAATAGAGTTCATTTGGGCTAGAAAGCCAGGGAAATAATGCCCTTCAATTCAATTGATCACTTTAAGCAGGAAGTAGTGTAATAATTAATTTGATGTGGTCCAGTTTATTGTGCATAACCAAAAATGAGAAGACCTTCCCAGGAGTAATATAGCAAGAATAGAAACAATCATTTGAAGGTGATTACAACTAGACACGTAGTCGATGTGTAAAAGCATCATTAGGACCTGGCAACCAGTGGAAATGTGGGTTGTTAACACATGATAGCTTCTTATGTGGATTGGTAGTGAACATATTTTATTAAGCAGTGGGCTTGGATTATAAAAGAAGAAATACAACATCTCAAAAAGAACACAGGAACAGAAAATAAAATCACTCTTTGCTGTGTGATTACTGGATATCAAAGAAGAGAAATATGGCTTAAACTGAACACAACACCTATAGATAATTTCTAATGCCCCTTTTCTCAGTATTTTAACCTATTTTGCTTTAAAACTTAAATGTTGAAATTGTATAGTATTCTATTTCTCAATAACAATGCACATTATCCACATACACAGTAATATCTCATAGATAACTGAATTAAACATAAAGTAGTCTGCAATAAAGTGTGCTCTAGAAATGTCATATAAGTAACATTCCTACATGTTTAGATATAAATATCTATCCTAGCCAACCCCCCCCCAAAAGCATTTTGAAATAATTTTCCAGTGTCATTTAACCTAAGTATATTTTTATTTTCAGTTTGGCATCATTGAAAAGTAAATATCCCACCAAATGGCATGTGCATGTCAGTGTAAATCATAAATTTATACACATGAGAGATAATGGGAAAATTATCCTTATAATCTGTTTCAAGCTTGTTGAAGCATATTTATAATTTTCTAACACCAGTAGAACAAACCGTTAGCATAGAAAAAAATGTGATGCCTGTTGTCTAGCTTGAGCATAGAAAAGTACCTATTTTCTCTATAGCAGATGCATATCCTTATATATCTGATTTTTTATCCTAACGATTTCCAATACAATATAAAATATTTCATGAAAAGATCAACTTTTGTTGAATTTAGGTTTTTATCGTATTCCAAGCATGCTCAAAAAAGGCTAATTATTATTCCATTCTAAAAATCTGGGGTGTTGACAATTAAGGAACCAAATTCCTAATGTTATTAGAGCACAGAGAAGTTTTTTTAGTGATATTTTTTTCCAGTAAACAGACTGATGAAGATTCTACTAATGGTGAATTCCAAAATAATACGTGAAACTTACATCTATTATCTATTACACCTATTATTTTTAGGGTAAATAACATGTTTAGGAAAATGGAAAAATCATACTTTTCATGCTGAGATGCTGATGATTTGTAGAGTCAATAAAATATGTATAATTTATTCTCTGGGTCCTGGATCCAGGAATCCCTAATGTCATTCCAGTAATTAAATTAGTGAGAGTACAGGATAAAGGATAGTCTCACACAATTAATTCAACCTAAAGTCAAGATATAAATGACAAGATAATTCTCAGAGAATAATGGCAGGGGTGCAGATGTTCCCAGGGGTTCATCCTCACTGACTCACAACACACTAAAGACTCATTGATCCTTAACTCTAAGGAGAGTGTAATAGAACAAAAAGAAAGACAAAGAAGATGAGGGGAAGAAAGAGAGGGATAAGCAGGAGAAGAGGATAAAATCATCTCCATCACAACAGAAAGAGGGCAACAGTATCATCCTACTCTCAGGTAACCTATGCCTAAATTAGGAAACAACCTTTACTACTGAATTCCCAAGATCTCTGTTACTCACACCTTGACCAGGACTGTGAATTTTTGTTTAGCCATACAAAAGAGACTTATATTGAATGGAGGGTGAAAGGCAGAAATTCCTATGGAATCTTAATATTAAGATCAGATAATTTATGGAGAGGCACCATAATCAATCAGGCAAATAAAAAAATAAGTTGAAAAACCAATAAAAAAAAAAGTGCTTCTGGAAATTGAATGGAAGACAGAATGGGAAATATAAGCTTGCCTCCAAAAAGGTTAAAAACAAAACAAAAAACAAAACAAACAAATGCACCAGATTGGAAGGAAGAAGAAAACATAAAACGTTCATTTACCCCTTTGGTTATTTCACTAGAAATCTAGGCCAATGAAATAGAGGCACTAATTTAATGTGTCATATTTAAGAGCCTGCAGACATATGTGGTTACCCTGACAACAAAAGGCTTTGCTCATATTGTTGCACGAAACAGAAGACAAATTTTGACTGCTTTCTGTCTAGACAGACTATTCCTTTCCTAATAAGCTCCCTAAATACACAGTGGAAAGTTTGAAGCCTGAGGCATTCTTCTATGTAGAGATGTATTAGTCAAATGAATAAAATCCTTAAATCTTACAGAAATAATTGACAGCTTGATTGTAACAAAATTAGAGGTTACTAGTGTTAATGACTTATCCTTCATTGGTATGTAAGGTATCTGTCACACGTTTCAGTAAACTAAAGATTAAGGCACTGGTGTTTTAAAACAGGAAAGAGGAAAACCTATAAAAGGGAAAAGAGTTAAGGCATTTGATATTGAACCTTGGAAATTTCTGCTTTCTTTTTTAATAAAATTCTTGAAGTTATCAATATAGTTTAAGAAAATCTAACACAAGGATAGGTTGAAGTGATGTCACATATTTTGTTTATGATTTTTTTCATCTTGATAGATGTCTCAGAACAGAAATTTTGAATCATTTTACTAAAGTTCTCCTGATGTAATTCTCTTAAGACAAAAAAAGAATCGCATTCTCAATAAATTTTGTGTGTGTACATGTTATGTGTGAATATTATACTAAATGAAATATTATTATATTTTGGTCCACATAATAGGAATCATATTAAACCAAGAAAGGGAAATAATAAAATGATGACTACACAAGTTCTAAATATTACTAAGTTCTGTTGACCGAGTAATGTTATAAAAATATCCAGGTATATCATATGTCAATCAAAAAGCTCATCTAGCAATAGCTAAATCCTTTAAGAACCAATAAAGTGATATTTAGATCTAGAACATGTAAGAGATTTAAAAACTACTCAGGGATGAAACCTCTGGCTTCTATTTATGATTTATTCTGAAGAAGAGATTATTTCAATATGAGTAATTATAAGGCTATGCTGATCTACCTTGGAACCATGTCAACTAGTAACTCCTATTAAGGTGGAAAAAATCAAATAAAAATATATAATTTTTAATTAAAAAATCCAAATTTGTTCTTGAATTACAAACTCAATATGGTATGTGATCTTGTTACTCATTTATTATCATGTTCAATGTTCTTTGTACTTATTTTTTTCTGATGTCCCTCTGCTCTCCACAAATATAAAAACTGGTTCTCTAAACCTTCATTCACATTATCAGATACAGGATATAATGAAAAACTAGAGAGCATTCTAAGTTTGGAATCAGAACAACTTGGGTTAAGACTGAGTCCTACTTTCTCTATATGGCATATAAATTAAAGACTTTGGATCTGACTTTGATCATCTAAAGATGATCTGTGAGAGTCATTAGCTTCTAAACAGTAAATTATGTAAGTGTTCAAAATATTGCCCAATTCCGGTAAGTCTGCATTTTATATAGCCTTAAGTATATGTGTCATGCAAGTAAATAATTTGTTTGTGTTTGTGGTGGCAATTTTACAACATTCCTCTAATTGAATGACAATTAAGTATAAACAAGCATAACATATGAAAGGTACTTCACAGTTACCTGAGATGAAACGTACTTCACAGTTACCTGAGAACAAAGAGTGCAAAATGAGAGGGTAAAAACTAATTTTAAGTTAAAATTAAATAAAAAAACTCTTTTAAGTAGATTCTAACTTAAAATAAACATATCACTTTACAAATTCAAACTTTTTGTTTTTGCTTAAAAATTAATTAATTAAAACCAGGTCAGCATTCAAGAATAGCAGAGCTAATCATCTGCTGTTCTCTGATTAAATAGGATGTATTTAGTTTCTCTCTATCACCTATGTCTCACATGCTTTGGCCCAATTTATTTCACATCAG